AAATTGGATCTCAGAGATAACTCTTAAAAGAAAAAAAAAAAAAGACCAGAAAATCTCTTTCATGCCGTCCTCTAAATACTTGATTATTTATAGTTTGGTTACTGATGCAATCCCAGGATCATGTTAGGTTCGTATTAGTACAGAATCAACTTGAACAAATATAACTTGACCCAATTTTAGGTGTGTAAAGATGATGTCATAAATGTTAATGGAAATATTGCTGGGAAGGAAGAAAATTTTTACCAATCGGGATCCATCTTCAAACAGATACCGGATGCCCTGATGCTTCGAAATGGAACCATCAACAGGATCCTTGTACTCAAATTCATCAGCATTGACAACATTTGATACGTCTGATCTTATTCCCTTTATTATTCTGTAATAATGAAGAGTGTAAGATCTAAGCAAAAAGAAATATTTTTCCAGAATTGAGTACCCAAATATTGTCGTAACAAAAATTGTCACTGGCCAAAAAAAAAAAAAAGAGGTCCATATCAATTACAGTTGTCGACAAAAGTTTCAATACATTGATCTAATTTTTTTGTAATTCTGTTTGTAGTTTAGCTCAATAGAGTCAATGTCGTCTTATCCAGTGGAAATGATCAGATTTCATCAAATACTTGTAAAAGATATGCATTTACCCTAGGCAGAAAAATATAAAATATATAATCATTTAATTTTCACCCATAATTATTAGTTTCAATTTAGGAAATTTACTACTTCGTTATTCAGCAACTTTCCAATTTTATTTATTTATTTATTTTTGTATAAATAGGAATAGTTATAAAATAATGTAGGCCACTGATTTTAGATATATTCAATGATATTGAAATATCATTGAAAAACTCCATTAGAAGTCATACCATATACATATGAACAAAGACTTGAATAGTTCTCTGCATGCTTCAGCTCTACCTCTCTCTGTCCTCAAATTGTTTCTTTGAGGTGAAATTTTGGGAGAATGATCTATTAGATGCTCGACCTATAACTGCTCTCAACCAATTTCAACTATGACAACATCAGCCTATGTTCTCGAAGAAGAAATTTAGGTATTGAATATCTCCCTCTGACAAAAATTTGAGTCAAGATCATGGTTAAAAATTATTCAACATTTGTTAAGAATTTCACTTCCAATTCATTTACTATAATACCACTACAAGAAATAATACCAGAAACCCAAAGATCGGTCGACAAACAATACCCAGAACAAGCTATTTAACCATCTTCCCTCTATAAAAAAACAAAAAATATACAATTTTCAATGTTATCTGCCCCTAGGCAGTAACATGTAGGATGAAAAAAATACACACAAATGATGTGACATCAATAGTCTAATGGAGCCGAAAGAAAAGATATATTGATAATACTGCAAAAAGGAAACCAACATTCAGAGTACACAGCACTTGTGCATGTGGAAAAATTAAAGATCGACGGGCTTTTAATTTTTAAGTTACCAATAGAAGGGATTGGAAGAGAACAATTTCCTTAACAGAGGAGATGATCCTATAGCATCAAGTCGAGTTCTTACATATGCATACTTCAAATGAAAACTGCTGCAATTTGCAGACGTCCATGCATGCAAACCATGCTTTTCATGTGAAAATAAATGGCATTTAAGGCAATTATGAGGGGACATAGGTTCAATATGTACTACTTCGCATATTCAGATCAAGTATTATCGAAGATGAAAAGAGAAGCATACTTGTTAACTTCATCAAGGGAGGATTGTAGCCTCACCAAATGTGCCATCAGTTCCTTTGCACCACCTGCATCAACATTCTTGAAGAAGCAATGGAGTTTGAGCTCAAAATGATGATCCACGGATATAACAATGTGTTTCTTATTACGAGAAATAGCAAGTACAACAAATTGCATATCATGCATACCTCATAATCATATCGAGTGTAATAGTGGCGTCCATAAGTAGCCCAGTGCTGGCGAACAATGTCTTCAACACTCACGAGCTTCTCTTCCCCAAGGTTATCTTTATTTTTATAGGCCAGAATAGATAGCCAAGCCAAAACAGCCCAAATTCCATCTTTCTCACGTATGTGGTCGGAGCCTATCAACATTGAGAAAAAAAAAGATCGAAAAGGCATCAAATTGAATCAAATACTTGCAATAAAAATGCCAATTATTCTCTTATTTATCATTTGCAGGGATGAACACGCATATCCTACCAGTTCCAAAACTTTCTTCACCACAGACTGAACACATTCCAGCATCCATCAAGTTACCAAAGAATTTCCAGCCAGTGGGAACCTTAACAGAGATATCATATTAAGCCTCTAAAACTAATTGCAGATAGAAATTCTAAATTTCTTGAGTTGTAATAATACCTCAAAAAATTTCAAATTCAAGTGTTTAGCAACAACATCAAGAGCAGCTGAAGTGGGCATGCTCCTGCAGGAAGAAGAATATTAATGGTGAATTCACATATAAAAGAAACAATTGACCAACCATAATATTGATGAAAATTTCAGCATGCAAAAATTAGGCAGTGCCCATGTACAGAAGCACGTGAATGAATAAGAAGACAAAGATTCCGTAATCTACGGAAGTGAAGAAAACTAAAATAGAACCTTGCGACTCCTTTTAGGCCCCCAGAAAAGTAAGGTATTGCTTGAACAGCATTTGCAGCAATTATAGCAACAGAATCAGATGGAGTAACAAAAAACCTGCCCACACAATATAAGAAAAAAAAGGTGATTCAGGGATGAAAGTTGTTTGAAAACCAAATTAATATAAGAGGAGGCTACCTTTTCCCGAGGATCATATTGCGGTCTGCATCTCCATCAGCAGCAGCTCCAAATTCGGGGGGCTGCTGTTCTGACTTTGTCTTACTCAGTCCCATACGTGCAACTAACTCTTTTGCATAGGTCAGATTGGGATCTGGATGCCCTCCACCAAAGTCTTCCTGCCAGTGTCATGTCATGCAGAAATAAACAGAGGAAAGGTGCATCAGAAAGACTATATTTAACTATAATTTTCTTAAAGCATGTTCTGGGAGAACAACACAAATACCTTAGGTACACAATTAAGTAGAGAGCTTTCATCTGCACCTAGCTCTTCCACAAATATACGTTTAGCATATGCCCCAGCAACTCCATGAAGTGCATCATAACTAATATATGAAACCAGAATTTAGACAATCAATCATTATTTGATGAGTACGAGAAGAAACTATTATGCACATGACACGAAAGCCAGCATAAATACCAGAAAGTGAATTTCGGAGATGTAAGCAACTTCTGGATAGACTGGAAATCAAAAATGGATCTGAGAAGAGATCATTGGAAAAAATGTTAGCACAAAAAATTGGTCTACAGATCATGCAAGAAAGAGGAGGCCAAGAGAAGAGAACTGTCAGAAAAATATTAAAGCTCACTGCTTCAAACACTTTAGTGAAAACGTTGAGATGGATACCCATGGCAATATATTCCTAAAATTTATATATTCAGAACCACCTAGACTTCTAACTGAAGCAAAAAAGCACAAGCACCACAATTATCATAAATAGTTTAAAGTGCAAGAAATGATATTGAAACATAACTAATACTAACAAAGGTCTTAGAGATATGAAAACTAACAGACAAATAAAACATTTGGAATAGCAGGCATGATTCATAAGTGCCATTTTCAGGAAGGCTAATGTTGCAATAACATTAGGAAAAAGTGACAATTGTCAAACAAATAGAGGGGTTTGATTTTTAAAACTGGTGCCAAGTGCCAATACTAATTGATTGATTAACAACGCACGTTTTTAGCATATTTTTTTATCAATAAGCAAGTGAAATTGTTTATGTCAATTATGAAAATATAACATACTTCATCAACTTGACATAATCACTTGCTGAATCAAAAACATCTACGTCAAATTGTCCTTCAGGACCTGCAAAGCTTGTCACACCTATTGTACTGATGTCCACCTGCAGTGTAGATTAATAGTGAGAAATATCAGTGATCAACAAAATAACACCGACTTAGGAACAAATAAAACACTTTGTGAATCAGGTCATACATCTGGCAGGCCTTCCGCAATTAAGTATTCCTTAATTGTTTTAGTATTCTCAAAGATCTTATCGGTAATCCCTTCAAGGGCAGGTCCACCATTTTCCATGTTGTATTTAATTCCAAAATCCTGTGAAAAAAGTTCAAAGAAACAAGAAGTCAAACACTCAGCTTAAGGAGCTTACTTCCACATATATTTGATAGCAGTAATTTGAAATTCAATAATACAATAAAGGTCTCCCATATTGATCTTTTTTATCTTAAATATATTCCCTCCCACTTTAAGTGTCTATAAGTAAACAAAATAAAAAGAAAAAGAAAAAGAGAAAAGGAAATTAAAAAAGCCAGACAAATACTCTGCAGATTGTAGATTTTAATTCTAAACATGTTTGACCAGTAATTGAATTTCTCCTCCCATGCCAATCATATAATTCTACCACTAACCAGATTCTATGTGATGAGGACATCGGACGACATTTACTGATTTTATTTAAGCTTTATTTATTTTCTTGGACTATTATTTAAATTTGGACTTGTATGGGCTCAAGCCTAAACTCGTTAGGGTTGCTTTACTATTTAAACCTATTTTGCATTATAATTTTCAGTTGATGATGAATGAATAATTATTTTGGTGGCTTATGGCGCATCCCTCCTCTTATTTTACCCTCTTCTGTTAAATTCTTCTTCTTTCACCCCCCCAATTCCCCATTCTTCTCTTTAATTCCCTCTCCCTATAGATCTGTTTTATTTCTCAATTAATTGTCCCGTTGGTACTGCATCAAATTTACCTTGGATAATGTCTTTCCTACAATCCAAATTTTCTTCTTATTTCTTTCCAAAATTTGTTGAAACAACAAAAATGAAAATATTTTCAGTGCACAAGTGGCATATTCCATTTTTCTAGTTGTCGTTCGTTGTTTAAAAAAAAAAAAAAAAAAATTACTGTTCATCACGGGTACTGTTCACCCAGAATTTCAATTTAGTATTTTGGTCAGTTTCTTTAAAAAAAAAAAAATTACTATTCACGGGTACTGTTCACGTCCCAAAAAAAAAAAAAACAAAAAATCTCGTCTTTTTTCCTGCTGCCGCTGCTGCTCATAAATAAAAAAAAAATTGTGGTGTTACACAAATCCCAAACCCTAGCATTTAAGTCCATTTAGCCCAACTAACCCAGCCTACTCTCTACGACCCAGGCCCACTCCCCAAACACTAACCCCAGCTGGCCTATCTCTATAACAGGATCCAAACCCCTTCCTAGCTGGCCCAGTCCCAAATATCCAACCAAGCCCGATTATAACAAATCCATTAACATCAAATACCCCACAATTTCACCCGATTCCTCTCTCATAGCCACTCTCTTGCCGCTGCCGCCTCTAATCACCATCACGCCACCATTTCATTATCTATTGTACCCAAGCATCCAGAGCACTACCGCTTCATCGCCATAGGCCACCACCACCAATCCAAGATCATACACTTCCACCACAATTACCACACTCGTATATTTCCTCATCCATCTCAACAATCTAAAGTCACGGTCACCACACATAGTTTTACGTCCACACTAGAATCAGCACAAGTTATAGTCAACAGGGGCTAAAACCATTGGACACGAAGGGAAGAACAGAAGCATAGTTGGGGCTCATAAGTCGGCAATTCAGATCAATCGGCATACAAATAATCAAAACTAAACAACAAGGAGTCCTTGATCTCTATTTTGTATTGATTTATACTACTGCTTCATTTTTAAAATTGCATCAATTAAAATCTTGTGCTGCTGTTATCGTGATAATTTTAGCCTTAAACCCTACTTGATCGAAACCATTAATCGAATTGATACCAGTGACTGAATTGACTTCCATTGTTCCCCACTTAAATTGATTGGAGAATTTGACTAGTGTGTTGACCCTTGCTTTGCCATTTTATATGTACCAGCAGTATTAGCTTGTTTTGGATTTAATTAATCTCAATATTTAAAATTAAATAATAATAAAAAAATTTGGTACAAGTTATTTTCCATTGCTTGCACGTATTGTTCACTGATCTCATCATAACACATCATTTAACTGGTATTACATTGCATGTAGTTGCGTAGAGGTCGTCTTGTCGTCTCTATTTCCAATACATTGACCATGGATCCATCCTAATTTGATGCACTCACTAAACAATTAGCGCAACTTGCCACTAGCCTATCGACTGTCCAATCAAATATAACTGCTATTTGTGAGGAGAGAAAGACCCTAGCTGCTAAGTTGAACAATTTTAAGCGAACCCCTCGTTTGACTAATACTAATTTTGAAGCGTCTCATAATAGACAATATCATCGTGAACAAAGTGATCAAGAATATTTTCGACGCGATCATAGGAATAGGGATCAGGTTCGTGAGCGAGAACAAGGTCATGGTCATCATGGTACTCATTCTCTTCCTCGTCGTAAGGAGCATTTCTTTGAAGGCATTGACTTAGATATTCCTACTTTCGAAGGTTACTTAGATCATGAAATTTTTACCCAATGAAACACCCTTACACAAGAGAATCGGTTAGTAACTGAGTACATTGCTCAATTTGAGGAATTTCGAGTGAAATGTCATGTCGTTGAAGATGAGGCCCTGACTTTAAGTAGGTTTATACAAGGTCTACGAGATGAACTTAGGCGTGAGCTTTTCCTTCGAGGCATCACTACTTTTGATCAAGCTTACTCTTCAGCTCGGGACTACAAGTTACTTATTAGTATTGCATATGAAAAGCGTGATCACCATCGTTCACCCATCTCATTAGCGTCATTTCATCATAAATCTATCATAGAGCATTCCCAGTCTAGTGTTCCTTCCCTTAGGAAAAACAAGTGTAAAGGTCGTGATAGCCCAAAGTCATCTTCTTTATGTAGAAAGCGTAACGACAATCATCCTTCGGTTTCATTGGCTTCCCTTCCTCTTGTTAAGTCCCTTCTAGGACTTCCCCCGTCTAGTGTTCCTCCCATTTGAAAAAAAAAGTGTAAAGGTCGTAATAGTCCAAGGCCCCCTTATCCTTACAGAAGGCGTATTGACAACCATTCTTCCGTCTCATTGGCTCCACCTCCAACTGTTAAGTCTCTTCTAGGACCTCCCCCTTCTAATGTTCCTCAAATCTTGAAAAATAAGTGTAAAATTTTTGAAACTCCAGGGACTTCTTCTCACCTGCTATGCATCAGCTGTAAGGACTTTGGCCACATCTCTTCCAAATGTCCTAACCGAGCCTTAGTCATAGAAGAACGAAATGATGTAATAGAAGAGTCGTTAGAAGATCTAGTCTATGAGTATAAACTTGAAAATTTTGATGACTTGAATGATTGTGAGGACACTTCCTTAAGTGGAATCCCGACCCTTCTCGAGACTTTAGAAACTATACCCCTTGTTTCCGACAACTCTTGATCACATGTTATATGTCATACCCTTACCCAACTCAAAGAGTTTGATGATTTCACTAGTCACTCTTGGAGAATCTAGTCGCCTGTTCTTAGCACTAAATCGAAATTCTCCACTACTGACCAACCTCAAACTGATGGTCAAAACGAAATTGCTAACCGAAGTCTTGGCAATTTATTACAGTCTCTAGTCCAGAAAAATCTTGGGAATTGGGACTCGATCCCCCCAACTGTTCACACCGCATATAACAATTCTATGAATCGGTCTCTAGATTTAAATCCATTTGAAGTTGTTCATAGTTATAAGTCTAGGCGATCGTTAGATCTTATTCCCATGTCCCCGCATGCTAGTGTGTCGTTGTCAGCTGAAGCATTTGTATATCATCTTCATGATTTGCATATTGAGATCAATAAACAACATGACGCAAGTAATGCATTATATAAACTTCAAGCTGATTCGCATAAACGATATTTTGAATTTAATATTGGGGATTATGTCATATTGCAAGCTTGTAGTGCTGGTCCTTTAAAAATTTTAAAGCATGTTGGTTCAAATGCACATGTTATTGCCCTTTCATCACATTTTGGCTACCACTCCGCTTTAAATATTGAGGACTTCATTACTTACAAACACCGTATTACTTTCTTTGACGATCCATTTCTACCTAACTTTGTGGACCCCCAATTTGACTATATTGATATTTCTACTTTAATACCATCTATCACAGCACACAAAAAGCTTTAAATATTGAGGACTTCATTACTTACAAACACCGTATTACTTTCTTTGACGATCCATTTCTACCTAACTTTGTGGACCCCCAATTTGACTATATTGATATTTCTACTTTAATACCATCTATCACAGCACACAAAGATAAAATTGATGTTATTTTAGATGAACGTGTTGTATTGATCAATGATGACAAAATTCAGTACTTCCTTGTTTGTTGGGTAGATCGACGTGCTTCTTATGCTCCTCATTATGTACAATCATGTGAAAATTTTGAAGATGAGGTCCATGAGTATTGGTTATTTGGAGTCCAATATCAGTACTTGGCTAGAAGGAAAGATCGCCCCCTTGGTCAGATCATATTCTTGGGACTAAGCTACAATTTTCAGTACTATCAATCATGGAATTTCGTTATTTGGTTCGTCAGAAAAATCGTCCCCCATAGCTTAACTTGAAGCATTTGGAGTATCATATTGACTGCAGCCAATACTATCTATCAACTCGACAGGGTCGAGTTTTTCTCCCACCCCGGGAGAGTTGATGAGGACATCGAACGATGTTTACTTATTTTATTTAAGCTTTATTTATTTTCTTGGACTATTATTTAAATTTGGACTTGTATGTGCTCGGGCCCAAGCTCGTTAGGATTGCTTTACTATTTAAACCTATTTTGCATTGTAATTTTCAGTTGATGATGAATGAATAATTATTTTGATGACTTATGGCGTATCCCTCCCCTTATTCTACCATCTTCTGTTAAATTCTTCTTCTCCCCCCCACCCCAGTCTTTGACATTTTCTTGCCAAAATATTCAAAATTATTTTTTCCCCTGCAAAATACTCCCAAAGAAGTTCGAGCAAAGAAAGCATTTCCCTGAAAAAATATAATGCCTCTGTCATGAGAATTAACAGCAGGCATATTTTTTCATTGATAAAGCAAACTTATTAAAAAGAGAGTTATGAACTAGGTGTCCTCAAATGATAAAACCAAAAACAAGGTCATATCAGGAACCAGAAAGACCGACCTATCAACAATGAGGAACTGTCAAAGATAATTCCTAACAAATCAGATGCTCTTGGACCAAAAGAATGGAAGAAAAAAAACTCATTTCGACGTAGATATATTAATGTTAAATGAATCTATAGAAAGATGGAGCAGGATAAATTGGAGAGGTCAAGCGACTTTATTTTATACTATGAAAGTGGGTATTTCGTAGATTCTGTGAACTAGACTTAGATTGCAGGTGTAGTGAGTGAGACTATATATACATGTTAGTGAGGTAATCATGAAATACAACTAGTTAGTGAGGTAATCATGAAATATTCCCAAAATAAAAAGAGCTTGATTAATAATAATATATAAAAACTAGTTAGTGAGGTAATCATGAAATACAACTAATGAAGCCTGGAGGTTCATCAAAATTAGAAATGTTTCATTCAATATTTAGAATCAAAACATGATCCAGGCATCCAAAAGGGTTAAACAACAATCAACCAATTCTGGCACACACCTCATGTGGTCCCCCAGGGTTGTGGCTAGCAGTTAATATAAAAGCTCCATTTGCCTTAGATCCCTGTTCAAGTGTCACAGGCTAACCAAGATCAGCATCATGTCAAAACCAATCTTTTCATGTTTACCAAGAAAATTAAAAGGAAACGGTTGGATGTTTATCCCATGAAAAAACTTACATCAGCCCCAACTCTTTCACGAATAACAGCTGATATAGCAGGAGTAGATAGCAATCCATTTTGACCGACCCAAATACATCTTACTCCATTTGCAGCAGCCATTTTAATGATTATCTGCCATGGGATAAAATCATTAGGGAATAACAATGTCATCTATCAATACATGGAGAAGCAAGCATATTTATACAAAGAATCAATGACCCGGACACTGAGTCCCTTAACAGCTCAAATTAAGAACAAATCATCCACCAAAAAAAATATGCTGATACATTTGATGCATATGAAGTTTTCATCATTCAAATATGTTAAAAATACAATATTTTATTTTTTTGATCGTTTGTTAAAAATACAATATTTAAATGATGTACATGTAGCCCTCTTTAACCGCTTAAGCTTTTAAATCAAGCGGTTTGTATTAAAGAAAGTCTCGCCGCCACACATTAAGCACTTGTTTGACAACTATTAATTGGGGAAAACAAAGTTTTGAATAGTGTTTTTTTGGAGAATGTGTAGTCAAAAAGTAGGGAAAAATTTTGGGTTTATATGTAGAATATTTCATTGTGTGAATGTGTAATTAAAAATGAGTATGTAGAAAAAAGAGCTTGAAAATAATGGTTTTGAAACAGGTTCTTAATGATACTGTGAACGTATCAATCTATAATAAACAATGAACCACAACTAGACACATGCGGGTGTGTTGAAGACAATATTTGAATGATAAACATATGGGTCTTCTGTAAGAGCTTAAATTTTTTTATCAAATGGTTCAACAAAATATAGATCTATTATGCCACTGGACAGTGTTTATTTATGACAATACTAGCAGTAGATATCCGAAGGAAAACAGAATTGACAAAAACGCTCTGCAATCAAAATCATGTTACTAGAGACGACAAGTAAGGAAATTCACTGAATTAGGCAGTCGATATTGCCTTTGGAATCAAATTGTATAATTTGTACCTGAATAGCATCCTTTGAATAATAGCGACCATCACCAGAAACGACAAGTGTAGCACCTGAACCAATACGCATCAGAAACAGAAAACAAAGTTTGTGGAAGCTGAGTAAGTTGTTTCTGACTGAAGCAAGGTAGGGTTCTCCTAATGCACAAGGTACACACTAAAATTTCTGCAATATACCCCAGTTTTCTGAAATAATTCCAATCGAAAGATGCACAGTCTATCATTAAAAACACTCAAGACATTTTCATGCCAACTTAGAAGTTGTGTGTGAGTGAACACAACTTGATCACAAATCTACTATTTAGCAGCAAGTTGAAGGCATTATTGATTTAAGAAATAATAATATAACATACAACATAACGCTAGCGTTTCATTAATACAGAAATATCACCTCTGACTTTGTCGGCCCCAAGTGCATTAAATGTCGACTGAACAAAATTTTCCAAGTACTTAGGTTGCTTAAATACTTTCACCTGAAACAACCACATGAAATATAAATAAGATTTGAAAATTAAGAGCCATTTCAGGATCATTGCAAGTAAGCATACTTGATAGAGAATTCACATTCTAAAGTGTTTAAGAAATGTTTGACATGAACATAGTATCCTAGAAGCAGGTTAATCATCAGAGAGCAATCTGCATGTTGAATCTTCAAGAGACTTCAGTAAAATAGCTTCCTTGTTAATTACTCAGTGTATTAGACGTATGATTTGATTGAAACAGCTTCTATCAGCTATTGGTTATAATGGCCAGTTAAGTTTTAGGGCGCAATCAGACCTTTGCACAAAAACTTGTTAAGAAGTAAAGAAGGAACAGAGTCAGGTCCTGCAAATTGATTGGATCACCAAAT